CAGAAGTGGAAGGCAGAGAAGCCTTTTGTGACGGAGGCCTGTTCCCACCCCTGAGCTTGGCCAGAGCTTGGCAGCAGGCTTAGTGTCCACCTGCAGGTTCTCAGGAAATGAAAAGACTCTGCCTGCTACCTATCAAGAAGGCATGGTCAGCAAACCAACACTGGGGCAACAGCCCCAGACTCAGCTCATTCTGAGGGGCCTTGTCCCCAAGGGCCAGCCTGTAGAACCTCTGGGCTTCCAGTTCTTTCAGCTCTCTGAAGAACTCTACAGAAGTGAAAGGAATTCTCCAGGCAATACACTGAAGTGGGTAAAACCAAACCTGGGTCTCCTGAATGGCAGGCAGATTCTTTAACATCTGAGCCACCAGGGAAGCCCAGGGGATCAGGGCTTATTACTCAGAGCAATTTGTCCTGAGGTTTCTGCTGCCACCTTGTGGCTGCTGCCCCCAGAGGAAGGGTGAACAGAGCTCTCTCCTCATTTGGGTTAAAGAAATATACAGGCCTGAAAAGGAATCTCTAACCTCACTAACAAAAGACGTTAACAAGAAAACAAAAGTCACTAACAAAAGATGAGCTTTCCTAGAAACTGCTGCCGAGAGGGAGGGCAGAAAAGAAAGAAAAATCATAAAAGGATGAGGTTTTCATTCACTGGGGTTTTACCAACTTTTTTCTGAAAACCCCAGTATTGAAGTTTTTCTTAAAACAAGTGATAGTTATGTATCAAATGGGAAAAAAACACAGAAAAAACAAAGTTTTAAAACTTAATATTAAAGGACTTCCTTGGTGGTCCAGTGGCTAAGACTCCTTGCTCCCAATGCAGGGGCCCAGGTTCAATCCCTCATCGAGAACTAGATCCCACACTCTGCAACCAAAGATCCTGCATGCCGCAACAAAGACCTGGTGCGGCCAAATAAATATTTAAAAGAAAAAAAAAGAAACAACATCCTGTGTTAAAGTTAGAGTCTGCCAAATCCCTAGAGTGCCAAGAAGACCCTCTGCTGGGCACCGATCTATAGGAAACAAGCACGAGCGGTGTGCTCAGGCGTGTCTGACTCTTCAGGACCCTGTGGACTGCAGCCCACCAGGCTCCTCTGTCCACGCAATTTTCCAGGTAAGAATATTAGAGCGGGTTACCATTTCCTTCTCCGGGGATCTTCCTGACCCAAGAATGGAACCCGAGTCTCCTACATCTCCCGCACTGGCATGCAGACTCTTTACCGCTGAGCCACCGGGGAAGCCCCAGAAAATAAGTACAGAAAGAGTAAAAAGAACCGAGACCAACTGACAAGGCCCAGAGGAATCACCAGGGGGCGCCACTGTCCTTTAAAAAAGTTGAAAATTTTACAAAACTGTTCCCTCAACCGGGCCACCAACTACCTAGGATGCAAAAGTACTTTAAAACTTTTGATATCTGGAATCAGTCACAACATAGAGATATTCACATAGATTTTGTTATTTTAATGCTATTGTTCTTCCTTTCCTGCTAATAGTCCCTGGCTGCCTTACCTTTGCCTGCAGCATACACACACACACATATATACCACTATTCCCCATTCTGCAAAGTGTTTCAGCCACACTAGTCTTCCTCCTATGTCTGGCTCTGTCAGGCTGCACAGCCTTGGCACTTACTGCTCCCTCTGTCCGGAATGTTGTTTTAATCATTATCCTTTGGCATTTCAGCTGACTCCAAACCAATCCCTGAGACCTTTCCTGATCACTTAACCTGAGGTAGCCACTCGCCATCTGGTTCATTTTGTTTTCTCTTCAGAGAATTCTAAAACAGTGTTTTTTACTTGCTGTGTTTATTTCCCTGGCTTAAAGCTCAACATTCAGAAAACTAAGATCATGGCATCTGGTCCCATCACCTCATGGGAAACAGATGGGGAAACAGTGGAAACAGTGTCAGACTTTATTTTGGGGGGCTCCAAAATCACTGCAGATCGTGATTGCAGCCATGAAATTAAAAGATGCTTACTCCTTGGAAGGAAAGTTATGACCAACCTAGAAAGCATATTTAGAAGCAGAGACATTACTTTGCCAACAAAAGTCTGTCTGGTCAAGGCTACGGTCTTTCCAGTAGTCATGTATGGATGAGAGTTGGACGGTGAAGAAAGCTGAGTGCCGAAGAATTGATGCTTTTGAACTGTAGTGCTGGAGAAGACTCTTGGAGGTCCCTTGGACTGCAAGAAGATCCAAATAGTCCATCCTAAAGGAGATCAGTCCTGGGTGTTCATTGGAAGGACTGATGCTGAAGCTGAAACTCCAATACTTTGGCCACCTCATGCGAAGAGTTGACTCATTGGAAAAGACCCTAATGCTGGGAAGGATTGGGGGCAGGAGGAGAAGGGGACGACAGAGGATGAGATGGCTGGATGGCATCACCGACTCGATGGACATGGGTTTGGGTAGACTCCAGGAGTTGGTGATGGACAGGGAGGCCTGGCATGCTGTGATTCATGGGGTCGCAAAGAGTTGGACACGACTGAACTGAACTGAACTGAATGTTATGTCTCTACCTCCTCCCTCGGATATAAGCTCCAAGAAAGGAATGAGAAGAACTTTCCTCTTCCCCTGGGATTCCCAAGGGCTGAGGACAGAGCCCGGGCTTGTAAATGTCAGCTAATTTTCCTACTCAAGTTAGAAATCAAAGACACTTCTGGGTTCAAATCCCGGCTGTCAATTTCTGGCTTCTGAGTCATTTTAAGCAAATGATTCAGTTTCTCTGAGCCTCAAATATTTTCATACATAGCTTGGGGATGACAATACTGTCAGGACCACACTGCTGGCTGCAAATCACGGAAAATTCCCACTCAGAATTTACGCCCCATCTGGTTGTTGCATTAGAATCACAATGTCTGAGACAGTGCAGCAAGATGAAAGGCAGACCTCTGTCTTCACAGCCAGCTAAAGGACTGGAGGCAGGATTTCGGCCCAGTGTTTCAGGGGTCTAAAAGAACAGGGATTTTTTTTTTTTTTTCCGATAGACGGAGGGCAGGATCGGAGTTTGGGCAGCGAGCGGGGTTTGCTCACCGTTTGGAGATCTCCTGGTAGCGCAGCTGCAGTTTCGCCTGCAAGTCTCGCTGTGGGAGAAAGGATGGAGGTCAGTCCCCAGGGCATCCCCAAAGAAAAAACCAGCTAAGGGGCAGTCCCGCACAGGACAAATTAAGAGAAAGGTGGGAGATGGGTCTTTGAAGACAGGATACGGGCCCTGGAAGTGAACGGGCCCTGGAAGTGAACAGCGGAGCTGAGGGCTGGAACAAGATCCCAAAGCTAAGAAGGTACGGGCCTAGGGAGACCCCAGGCCTGAGTGGTACCACAGCCAAGGGCTGGGGAAGGTGTCCTGGGTTGAAGGGGTCACGAGTTCGGGGTTCTGAGCTGAGGAGAATTCCCTGCTTAGGGGCATCTCGGCACTAATGGCCTCAGCCCCAGAGATGCAAGAAGCAGGTGAGTAGTGGGAGCGGGTCAGGGTGCACAGGGCCTCCAGCATCCACAGCCCCTTCCCGCCCCGCCCCGCCCGGCGCACCCCAGATGCCCAGTTCCTCAGCCGCTGGATGAAACGGGTAGCGGACGCCATCTTTTCACCGGCGCTGAAGGGCGCCGGTGACGTTTCTACTGCAGGGACTGCTGGGAACATGGCGTAGGGTCTCGCGAGAGCGGGAATGGGCGGGGCTAGGGAGTCATATAAATAGTCTCTCCGAAACACGTGACTCCTCTCCCCCCGACCGCCGCCGCGCCGCCATCATGGACACGAGCCGTGTGCAACCCATCAAGCTTGCCAGGGTGAGGCTGAGGCACGGTTTTGAGGGCCCAGATGAGGGAGGATGGAGTAAGGGAACCAGGTGGGCTAGATCTGATCCCAACTTCTTTCCCCAGGTCACCAAGGTGTTGGGCAGGACCGGTTCGCAGGGACAGTGCACGCAGGTGAGCAGGGAAGGCGGGGAGTGGGGGATGTTTGCGGGGGGCTTCTAAAGTCTGAATCTCGAAGATAATTTCTGTGCCCTGGGTATTGTTCCCTGCTATCTGGGAACCAATTAGCTCCCTATTTCCCAGAGCTTACAGAGGGTCGAGGGTCGGAACTTTAGCCAAGGCTCTGCCCACCGGATCTGGGCTCTGTCGATCTCATTCCCCGAGTTCTGACATAGTTCGTTGTCCTGGTTCAGGCTCTGCCAATGACCACTGTGGCTCCATGCCCTCACAACCCCCAGTTGTCTCCCTTGGTGGCATCTTCTGGCGCTCGAGAGCTTTGTTCTCCACGCCTCGGCCCCTCTCCGGCTTGTCTCCTATCCTAGTCATGCTTTCCCAGCCTTAGCCCCTTTTAAGTGTCTCTAGGCAGAAACGTTCTCTGGATCGACATCAGCCGCTTATCCCACGGATCCTATTCTCAACCGACTCTGACTTCTTCCCATCCCTCCTGTGGGCCCCGTAGGTGCGCGTAGAATTCATGGACGACACGAGCCGCTCCATCATCCGAAACGTGAAAGGCCCCGTGCGCGAGGGCGACGTGCTCACCCTGTTGGAGTCAGAGCGAGAGGCTCGGAGGCTGCGCTGAACTTGTGACTGGTGAGTGCACAAATGGAGTGGGAAATAGAGCATCTCCTTGTTAGACCCTTGCCTGGGGGTAGGGAGATTTTGCCAAGACCGTGGATCAAGGGTTCTTGCTTGGGGTCTGCTGAAGTTAGCAAGATGGGGGAGGGAGTTTCCCTGTTTGGGGTGGGGACACCTTTCAGCATCTCAACGCTTGGGTTTGTTTACAGGGTGCTGGATGTCTGGGTTGACGCCGTAGCCCACCAGGATGATCTGCTGTTAATAAAGCGTTTATATCGTATGTAAACTTGAGGTTTTGTCTAGGTTGTCATTAGATTTCCAAAGTTCTTCTGTGGGGCCCCCAGGTAGTCACTGACCCGCTGTACTCTGGAAGTAGGGGGTGTTCCCCAACAAGGTATTTTCTTTGTGAGGAGGGAGAACTATGTGTTTTATGTACACCTCCAAAACAGGACAAGATGAGTTAGGAAGGTTTTATTAGGGAAGAAAGCTAGAGGAGTGGGTAGACAGGGGCTGCGTCACTCCCTCAGCTGCATGCTCACCCTTTGCAGTTCAAGCTGAGCCTCTGGCTACAGACCTCTGCCCAGGGATCAGGAACCCCCACCCCCCATCTGGGTCCAGTGTGCTAGGCCAGTCACAGGGGCAGGGTGTCCTCTCCACTGTCACTGCAGCCTCCTTCACCAGGCGTGGCCGTGGATGAATCGGGGGATAGCTGGTGAGAGAGGTTGTGGGGGGGGGAGTCCTGTCAGTCTCCTGTAGACAGGACACTCGGTTTTAGCCCCCCTTAACATTCAGAGATGCTTAAACTACTGGAGGTCTCCACCTTGCACAGCAGAGCCAGGCTGCCAGGATTTGAGTCCAGTCTCTGTCCCATCTGACCTGGAAGAGGCACTTGACCTCTGGTTTTTCCCCACACATGTACAGGAGAGTGCAGGAAGGGGAGGCTGGCAGGGCAAGTTTAATTAGGAAACTTTAGTGTATAAGCCCCTCCCCCTTGGGGACAGACTGAATCCTCTTGCCCTGCTCCCTAACTCCAAAGCGAAAGTGTTAGTCACTTGCTCCCTCAGTCATCTCCAGCTCTCTGCAACCCCATTGACTGTAGCCTGCCAGGCTTTTTTTTTTTTTTTTGTCTATGGGATCTCCAGGCAAGAGGACTAGCTCCAAAAGATGCTTTTATTCCTTTGCTCTGGGCCTGTAATGGGAGTCGACAGACATGATAGTCTGAGCTATGTCTAACAGCTCTTGTCTGACCTTAGGGCAAGCCCCTCTTGAGGCCTCAGTCTCATGACCTTCACTTTACATGTGAAGGTGTGTCTAACCCTGGGGGTGTTCTGAAGGTTGAACATCAGACCCAGGTTCCCGCCCCCCGGTGCTCCCTAGCGGGTACACAGAGAACCACTTTCCTGGGGTCACACTTGATCTCCTTGAGCTGTGCAGCTGGGCAACTCCCTTTCTGCAGGATGGGGTCACACTCACCTGGGGGCCAGGCTGGCCTGAGCTCAGGTGGGTGTGCAGCAGAGCGGCCACCTCGTCCTGCTCAGCCTCCAGGGCAATGGCCAGGGCACTGGTGCCCTCCTGAGGGATCATAGAGACAGTCAGGTCCCTGAATCAAGGCACCACTACCCCACACCAGCCCCACGGTGGCTCACGTTGTCCAGGAGGGCAGGGTCGCAGCCTGGCTGGGCCAGAAGCAACCGCACAGTGTCCAGGCGCCCATACTCGCTGGCGCACATCAGCGCCGTGGCCCCATCTGCATCTTGCACATTCACGTCCGCCCCACACGCCAGCAGGGCAGCTACCATGTCCTGACGGCCGTGGCTGATGGCCAGCATGAGGGCTGTCTGTCCCGTCTGGGAAGAGGGAAAGGAGGGGACAGGGCTGGTGTGGGCTCTTTAGAAAAGGGAGGAGGGTCCCAGACACTTGGCTTGGAAAGTGAAAGTGTCCCCTGGACTCAGCCAGGGAGGAGGCATCTATGCACCTGGCTGGCCTTGGCGTTAACGTTGCCCATGTGGAAGAGTCTCTGGACCACAGCCATGTCCTCCTCTCGCCCCACAGAGGTGAGTGCCGCCAACATGAGGGCGGAGTAGCCAGCTCGATTCTGGTGGTCAATCTTGCAGACTCCTGGGAGACAGAAGAGGGCTCAGTTCAAGAAGCCGACACTTCTTGGTCCACTCACTTCCCTCCAAGCATCAAGTTCACCATCTGTTTAGCAGCTTGGTCACTGAAGGTCATGCCTGATTTTACTGTTCCTCTGTCTTACAAGGCTCTTCCCTCTCCAAGAGCCATGTGGCCCTGCTCTTACCTTCAGAGTTACGTTTCGATCTCACTGAAAGGTTTCCTCACCTCCCTATTACAAACTGGTTTGGAGACTTGGTTCTGTCTACCACTGTATCCCCCAGTACCTAGAGCAATATCTCCCACTAATTGTTCACTCAGTCGTGTCTGACTGCAGCATGCCATGCCTCCCTGTCCACTATTTTCTGAAGTTTGCCCAAGTTCATGTCCATTGAATCGGTGATGCCATCCAACCATCTCATCCTCTGTTGCCCTCTTCCACCTTCGATCTTTCCCAGCATCAGGGTCTTTTCCAATGAGTCAGCTCTTCACATCAGGTGGCCAGAATACTGGCGCTTCAGCTTCAGCATTAGTCCTTGCAATAAATATTCAAGGTTGATTTCCTTTAGGATTGACTCAATCTCCTTGCAGTCCAAGGGACTCTCAAGAGTCTTCAACACCAGTTGGAAAGCATCAATAAAAGGACTACTGCCCACAAAGCCACCATTGTTGTTCCCCCAGAGAACTGTCAGCTAGCCCCACCCCCTGGTGTCCCAAGTTTACTCCAGTTTCCACACAGTGGCCAGAACAGATCAATGGGAATTTGGCCCCATCACTTATAGACATGAATTTGAGCAAACTCCAGGAGATAGAGGAGGGCAGAGGAGCCTGGCATGCTGCCATCTATGGGGTCACAAAGAATCAGACACAACTAAGCAACTGAACAATTCCATATGACTGGTATCCTCAGAAGAAACAGACACAGAGATCTCCATGTGATGCTGAAGGCAGAGATAAGCTGCCATCAGAAACTAGGAGAAAGGCACGCAACAGTCACTCTGAGCCCCTAAGAATGAACCAATCCTGTGAACTTAATGGCCTCCTGAACTGCAACACAATGAATTTGTTCTAAACCTCCCATGTTGTGGCACTTTGTGGTTCTTTGTCACAGCAGCCCTGGGAAACAGCTTGGTTGTTGCTGCCTGTCCTTGACAGGTGAACACAAATGTCAGCTCCATTTCCTCTGGGGTCAGTTCTGTTGCCATCTTGGCCGCCTCCCACACATCATAGCACCTACCTCTGGATCTCATTCCCCAGGGTGTTTAATGCTTGTGGACCCCACCATTCTGAAAGCTCAAGGCTAGGTGCAGTTTGGGGAGATGAATGGTGGGAGAGGAGGTTTGGGGAAAGGAAGGGATCAGGGTATTGGAGTAGATGTCCTAGTCAGAGGCGATCTGAGACAGTGGGCTGAGAAGTAAAAAGGTTAAGTCACTGGGCTTCCTTGGTGGTACAGTGGTTAAGACTCTGCGCTGCCAATGCAGGGGGCCTGAGGGTCCATCCCTGTTCAGGGAACTAGATCCCACATGCTACAACTAAGATTTCGCATTCCACAACAAAGATCCTGCATGAGATAATCAAGACCTGGTACAAGCAAATAAATTTTTTTAAAAGGTGGGGTGGTTAAGTCAGGACTAAGGGCATTCCCCAGTTGTGTGGTGGTCTGGGTGTCCATTCCTCCCACAAGCTTCTGTGACCCTGGTGGAGGATGTTAGGCGCAGAAGGGGCTCAAAGTAGCCACAGTGGCGGGACTGCAGCCCACCAGGCGCCCCACCTATCCTCCCCTGCTTTTCCCTCCTCTGAGGCCTTGCTAAGGAAGGATCCTAACCTAAAGGATTACCCTATTTCTTGATTCCCTCCCCTGATTTTATCTTGTCCTGGCCCTTACCTCTGTGGGAAATTATGTTTAATACTTAATCAAGTAAAACTGATCATTCTCTCCACTCCCTACACACACCCACCCAGAGCTCCCATTCATGGAAACTCATTCATTCAACAAACACCAGAGGGTCTACTGTGCCTCAATGAAGTCTGATAAGCAAGCAGGATGAAGTGAGGGAAGGGCAGCAGGAGTTTGAAAGAGTACATAAAGGAGGAGTTAATAACAGCCCAGAGGGTGAGCAAGGAGACAGTGCCCTGAAACTGGATGGGAGCAATGGCTACTGGTCCCATGAGGCCCAAGGACTGTGGGAGTCGGACAACTGGAGACAGTGACCTGAGATGATGGGAGGTGAGAGTTTAGGCGAGAATGCCAGTCCTTCTCTGCATCCTTGGCAGGTGCAGGATGGTAGAGCCAGCCCAGCACTACCCAGATTCCCCCTTCCGTGGGTCCCTATTCCCTAATGCCCTCGCCGCCCCTCCTCAATGCTGACCCGTATCCAGCAGCAAGCTCGCGATGGCCAGGTTCCCGTGGGACACGCTGTAGTGCAGCGCTGTGTTCCCGTTGCCATCCGCCAGGTTCACCACGTGCTCCAGCAGCTCCCGCCCCAGGCGCGCCACCGCGCCCAGCACCCCGGCCACGGGCTCCGCTTGAGAGCGCCGCTGGCTCGACACCCGAAACCACTCCTGGGCCACCAGGCGCGCCGCACCCTGCCAGGACAGGAGAGAGACAGCGAGAGTCCAGGGCAGGTGTGGAGGCCGGGCAGGGGAGGGTGGTCCCTCCGTATTTGAGGGGCGTGGACTCGTGGGGCCGCACCCCTTTGGAGGAGGGAGTAGTGTCAGTGTGGGTACACGGCCCCAGGGGGCAAGGATGCTCCTCTTCCCGAGAAGAGCCTTCGGGAGAAGCAGGAGTGGAGGAAGACGGTGAGCGCTTGTTTTGGGGGAGTCCGGGAAGGGGATGGGGCTTGGGGTGGACCCTGCTGGGGAATCAGAGAGATCAGCCCAGTTCTGGGGCGGAGACCCCTTTGGAGACCTTGGTATCCATGGAGGGCCCTGGCGCGAGGTGACAGAACTTGGGGCCCCCTTAACTCTAAAGAAGAAGATGCTCTTCCCTAGGCGGGCGTCAGACGGGGCCCCCGGCGGGCCTCTGACTCTGAAGGGCTCTCTATTCACTCACACTGTCGCGGGGGACCCCGCGGGGCCGGCTCAGCTGCCGCTGCAGCGCTGCACACGCCTCCCTCAAACGCGGGCTCAGCTCGCACCTAGGAGACGGAGAGGCTCCAGGAGGGGTCGGGATGGAGAGTGGGAAGACGGGGAAAGAGCAGCCGTCCCCATTTCGTGTCCCCCGCGCGGCTCACCTCCCCTGGGCACCCGGCTGAGGTTCCTGCTCTGCCTCCGGCTCGGCGCCCCGGTCCTCCTTGCCGCTGGGAGCGCCAGGGGTCTCAGAGTCGGATGCCGCGCCGCTGTCGTCGCCCGAGGAACTGCTCCTCGTGGGCTCGGCAGCGCCATCCTCGCTGTCGCCCTCGCTGGATGAGCTCTCGTACCTGGGGGCAGAGTGGGAGCCTGATGCTGAGCCTCCCCTGTGAGCTCAGTCTGGTGTCCTGCGAGGTGGGAAGTGACTGTCCCCATTTTACAGATGTGGACACTGAGGCCTGCCAAGACCACGCTGCAAGCGAGGGGTAGAGCTGGGATTCAAAACTCCAGTCTATGTCCCAGCAGATGCTGCCATGGGGAGGGGGAAAGTGCTCACTCTCCATTGAGGACCCCAACAAACTGCAGGCTCTTTGGTCCGGGGCTGGTTTGGCCACCAGGTGTACCATCTTTCCTCTTCATGATGGATTTGAGGGTGCCTGGCGGAGATCAGATGAGGACACTGAGTTCGAATTCAGCGGCCAGTAAGCCAGGGCTCAGCGAGGGATGGGGACTCACCCGCGGGTGCCACGGCCCTATCCCCATCCGTGGATCCGGGCGGGTTCTCCGGCATCGGGGCCGGGGCCTCCAATGGAGCATCGGTCTGTGTGGTCTTCTCCACATAATCCCATGGGGTCTGGGTGGTAGCCTCGCACGGCTGGGGCCGGGACGCCGCGGCCTCGGCCTTGGCCTCCTCAGCAGCCTCGCGGGCTTCCTCCAGCTCGCACAGCCGGCCCCGCAGGAGCTCGCTCACCCCGCGCTGATGCTCCAAGCTGGCGCGAAGCAGCTCCAGCTCGCGCTCGGCGGCCGCGGGCAGCCCCAGCAGAGCCTCCGTCACCCACGCCTCCGCCTCGAGGGTCTCAGGAGCTGCCCCCACGCCGGCCTCCTGGGTCTCCGGCACCGCCTGGACTCCCACCTTTTGGGTCTCCGGCACGATCTGGGTACCTGCCTCCCGTGTCTGGGGCGCCCGGTCGAGGACCGGTGGCGCACCCTCGCTGTGGCTAGAAGCCGACCCGTCCGGGCCGTCAGCCCCGGGGCTGGCCCTGGTGCGAACGCCGCGCTCAGAGGTGGCCAGGCGCTCGGTGAGCCGCCGCAGCTGAGCAAGCTTGTCCGGGCGCGCCTCGGCCTCCCCGTCGGACTCCGGCTGCCGGCGCGCGGCCAGCAACCGCGCCTTCTCGGCGCGCAGCGCGCGAACCTGCTCCTGCAGCTCCGGCAGCGCGCGCGCTTGTTCCTCGAGCTCGCGCAGGCGCCGCAGAGCCGCGGCCATCTGCTCGCGCACCAGCTGCAGCTGCGCGGGGCCCGGCGAGGCCAGGGCCGGGTTGGGGGCGGGGCTGCTGTGGCCAGACCCGCGCGGGCTGCGCGGGGCCGCGCGGGCCGGGCTGGGCGCGCCCTCTTGTGCCTGCGCTAGCTCCAACCGCCGGCTGGTCTCCAGGAGCGTGCGCTCGACGCGCGGGTTGCGCACGGGTGCGCGCGGGGAGAGCGGCGGCAGCATCAGCGCGGACGGCGCACCGGGGGAGAGTGCGCCCGGCTGGCCCCGCAGCGCGGCGGGCGGCGGGGCCGCGCTCCAGCTCCTCCACATACTTGAGGAAGTCCAAGTCCAGGTGGAAGCCGTAGGGGGTCTCCACCGAATAGGGCGAGCTCGGGCTGCGGGCGCCCCCAGTCGCGCTGGGGCACAGGCGAGGGCCGCCCAGGTCTGCGGACATGACAGGGGCGTGGAGGGACGTCAGGCCTGGGAGACGCAGAGAGGCTAACAAAAGGAGCGCCTCCCCACCGCCCCACGACATGCTTTCACGATGCCACCTGCTCCAAACCCTGCACACCTGCGGTTGCACACCGAAGTTTAAACACCTATCTGCACCCCCAAAAGTTTGTGCATTCACGTGTTGAGCACCTACTGTGTACCAAACACTCTTCTAGGTACTGAGAACATAGCAATGAACAAGAAAAGCATTCTTGCCCACTTGTAGTAGACAGATAATTAAACGCAAACGTTCAAAAAAGGTCCTTAGGGCAAAAATAAAAATTCCAAGATGAAACAGTAACTGAGAGGTTTTGGCTTTGGCTGTCCCAGCAGATTTCCTGCGGAGGGAACTCAGAAGTTGAGCCCTGAATGAGAAAGGGAAAGCAGCTGGGATGGAAGGTTCCTAAAAGAAAACAGCTCGGGCAAAGGCTCTGGGGTGGAATGAGCAGGGTAGACCTGAGTAAAAGTGGGATGGAGGTGAGGATGTGCAGAGCAGAGTGAAAGAAGGGAGGGGGGAGAGGACTAGAAGAGGTGGACTTGGGCCGGACTGAGGAACCTTCTGGGCCACCGTGAGGAGCTGGAGTTTTATTCCACCTGTAATAGGGCACCAGAGGCAGATTTTAAGCAGAGTCAGGACATTATCCACCTTTATAAAGGGCCCTCTGACCACTCGGCAGAGGAGGGAACTGCAGGGCTGTGTGGGCACCTGGGCGCCAGGTGTGGATCTCTACACACACAAATACCATTTTGCACACTTACCCGGCAGGTTCTGATTCAGGGCAAACTTGGCCATGTTTCCCGGAGTAGCCGCCACCTTTTTCACACCCTGAAAAAGGCCCCCAGAGGGGTGAGGGTGGGTAGGACTGAACCTGCCCCTCTGGCTGTGCCTCTAGGGTGTATCTGGACTCTGCATGAGTAAACAAACCCAATTGCTCCTCTCCATCCCCCAACCTCCCCCCTCTCCCCGCCACACACACAGGTCCTCTCCTCCCTCCTCCCTCAAGTGGCCTTGAAAATTTGGAATGAATGACTGTGGGGGCCCTCCTGTGCCAGGCCTCCTCAGCCTGCTGGGCGGGAAGGGCATCAAAAGAAAAGGGGATGGTGATGAGGGAACCAGAGCATCTGGGGGCAGGGCAGGGGCCGGTGCTTTCCAGACCTGAGGAGGTTTATGTCAGTCCCTGGAAGAAATTAGAAACTGACGCTCAAAGGGGTGGAGTGTGCACATTCAGAAGAGGAAGGCGAGAGTTGGAAGCCCTTCTTGGGCTCATTAAAAACTCATCTGGTCAGATTCTGCATACTGAAAAGAAACAAACAGAAAACAGAATTCTTACATTTTTTTTCTTAGAGTGCAAACAAAATATAATTGCATATCCAAATTTACATCAGGGTCACTTGTGAGATCCTTTAGGAATGATGAAGAGCTGTGGATCAGAGGCACCAAGGATGCAAAGTCTCCTTGTGATGTCTCTACTGGGGTGCCACAGGGCTCTGCCTTTAGTTTGTGAGAAATTGTAGTGGAACCATGAGCACCCAGATTGTGAGAGCTGTGGCTATGTTTGGGGCTAAAGGGAGAAAGACTCTTCAGGTGATGTGATGGAGGCTCTAAGAAACTGAGGGAGGGGCTTCCCTGGTGATCCAGTGGTTAAAAATCCACCTGCCAATGCAGGGGACATGAGTTCGATCCTTGGTCTGGAAAGATCCCACATGCAGTGGAGCAACTAAGCCCTGTGTGCCGCAACTACTGAAGCCCACATGCCTACAGCCCACACTCCACAATAAGAGAAGCGACCACAGTGGGAAGCCTATGCACTGCAGCGATGCAATGAAGAGCAGCCTGGGTTTGCCTGAATTAGAGAAAGCCGCAACAACAAAGACACAGCGCAGCCAAAAACAAACAAATAAAAATAAATAAATCTAAAAAAGAAACTGAAGATTGGGTCACATCTAATAATGTGATATTTAACAGGGATTTTTCCAGAACTTTGTTATTGAGTCCACAATCTTGTTTCAGAAAGCACAGGGCAGGAAAGATGGGGCTTTGAAGAACCCACATGAAAAACCCTCAGAGATGTGTAAACAGCTTGTATTGCGTGCCTACACTGTGCCTGGTCTCATTTAATGTACCTCCCCCAGTATAAACCTGCAAGGTAGGATGGTTCCCCTTTTTCCAGATGGGGAAGCTAAGGCATAAAGCAATTAAGTCTATTACCTATAGGAAATGTCCTCAGACTGGGTTCTGCTCATCTTCTGGGGAACTCTTGTCTGCCCAGCCCTCCACCAGCAGGTGCCCGGCAGCCCCAATCTGTACTCTTCCTGACCTACTGCCCATCTGCACTAACCACCTGGCAAATTTCCTCATCACCTCTTCAGGTCTCCTGCACTGCTGATGACCACCTGCATACCTAACACCCACCCGTTGGCCCACCTGACTCATTTTGCTCCGCGACTGGGGAGACGGGCCCACTCACCACCTCTGTCCAACCTGGGTTCCTGACATCTCCCCCACCCTCACTCCCCAAGGGAGAAGGGAGTGGTAGGGAACTTACCGTCCTGAAGCAGCTGTTTCCCGTCCCTCACACTGGCTATAAGGGGCCGGCCAGCGGGGCAGCACAGAGGACAGTCAGTGCCTCTCAGGACTTGTTTTCAGGAAGCTCTCTGGGAAGAGCTGGGTCATGGAAAAAACCTGGACTGGGGCTTAGGGGTCTGGGCCAGCCTCACACACAGCTGGCCAACTACCTCAGTGGGATCAGCCCCTTCCTTCAGGGACCTGGCCACACCCAAATCCAAGACCCTGGGAATTAAAACAAACAAACAAACAAAAAAACAGCTCTGGGCCATTCCTAAGACCCAAACCAGCTGGAGCAGCCAGACCCAGAAGTTGGCCTGAAAAATGGGTGGATGCCCCAAGAAGGGGCTTTCCTGGTGGCTCAGATGGTAAAGAATCCACCTGCAATGCAGAAGACTTGGGTTCGATCCCTGGGTCGGGAATATCTCCTGGAGAAGGGCATGGCAGCCCTTTCCAGTATTCTTCCCTGGAGAATGCCTGTGGACAGAGGAGCCTGCTGGATTACAGTCCATGGGATCGCACAGAGTCGGACACGACTGAAGTGACTAAGCAGCAGCATCAGCAGCCCCAGGAAGAGTAAATAGCAATATAACAAAACCCTTTGCTTTTGCTATGGGGGTAGCCTTGATTCTAAGCAATTTATGGGTGTTTAGTAAAAACAAACAAACAAACAAAAAAACCTCCTAGGCCCTTTGAAGTAGATTTTCTTAGCATTATTCTTTCCCCCTCTTCCCCATTGTGCAGATGGAGAAACTGAGACTCAGAGATGAAGTGACCCAGCCAAGGTCGTACATGGGCAGAAGCAGCTTTTTGAACCCAGCAGCTTTGCCAGTATTTCATTCTTGCCTGGAGAATCCCATTGCTAGAGGAGCCTGGCGGGCTACAGTCCATAGGGTGGCAAAGAGTCGGACAGGACTGAAGCCACTTAACACACACGCCCACTGCATTGCCCACTCCACTTGATGGCTTTCTATAAACAGCCCTCCACTCACCAAGAGGGGCACAGAGCCAGAGGAGGTCGGCCCTCCCAGCTTGCATTCCCTCCTGTCTCCTGCATGTGTCCCTAATGGGAAGAGCAGGGCCAAAGTCTGGTGACTCCAGGGGTTATATCCTCGCTGGAGCGGGGGCGGGGGGCGTGCAACTGTTCTCCCCTGTCCTCTGCTCCCTGCCCGAGGAGCTGTCACGGCTATATCCACATCCTCTGCCTGAGACCCCTCATTAGCCCGTCAGAGTCGACGCCACACGCCCCCACTCCCGCCCCAGGGATTATTTTGGGACTCAGAGCTGCGATCACAAAACCTGAGGGGTAGGGGAATGCGGAAGGCAGTTCAGATCCCGGTCTTGGAGAGGGGGGCGTCTTCCCAGATTGAGGCTTTGGGTGGAGGCACCCCTCCTAATGTTGGGACGGGACTCTCAGACCCCTGAAGTGGGGGTGGTGGCTGATGATAGTGCAAGGGGGGAGGTGCTGAGGTCAGCACCCCGTCACCCCCATGTCGCCTCAGGACGGCCTCACAGAGACAGAGCAGTTTCCTGCAGGAAACGCTGCCGGGCGGTTCCATCCGCTGCCCATTGTCTGCCGGCCCCGGGGGCCATCCGTCCCTCCCCCCAACACGGTTTCCGAATCACCCTACACACACACTCAGGTCCAGAGCGAGGGGATGGTTCGGGTCCCCAAGCTGTCCCGGAGCGACTCCGGGAAAGGATCCCCAAGTCGTGGCAGCACAGGGGGCGAACAACCACCCCCCCCCCACTTCGCTCCTGAAGGGCGGGAGAAAGGAGACCTCACGAATCCAGAGGGCCCCAACTCTGCTCGCTCCCCACCTGGGGCTCCCAGTGTGGGAGTGGAGGGGTCCCAGGCAGAGAACACTGCGCCCTCCCCGTCGCTGCGCGCTGAGCCCGCAGAGGGGCTGAAAGCTCAGCACCCCGTCCCGGTGCGTACCCCTGATCCCCGCGCCCCAGATTCCCCATCGGTGCCCAGAAAGCTGGTGCTTTACCTGAAGCCGCAGCCCCAGCCGCGCCCGCACCCGAGCCCGCCCCCTCGAAGTTCGGGGACGGGTTATCAAGGCCTGGACCCTAACTGACAACCAAGTCAGCCAACCAGGGTCCTATGCTCTCCGAGCTGTCCAATGGTGAGGCGGGGTGGGCCGCGCTGGCCCGCGCCGAGGGTTTGGGGGCGGGGCTAGGGGCGGAGCCTGGAGTGACGGTCTTTGAGGGCGTTCTGTCCAGGGTTGGGGTTCGGCAGCTGAGTGCTGCCCGGCTCAGGGCGAAAGGGCTTGGATCTGATCCACCGGGGACGGGGAGCCATGGGAAGACTCTAAGTAGGAAAGTTACCTGGTGGGACTTGCATATATGGAAGATCCCTTGGGTGGAAGCTGGAAGGACTGATGTTCCTTTCCCAGTGTCTGGGTGAGGGATCCGGACCCTGGATCTTTCCGACCTCAGGGTCTTTGTGCATGCTCTTCCATCTTCCTGAAGTGTTCTTCCCTGCACCTGTTCACTTGGCCACCTTCTCCTACATTTGGGGGCTCAACCTGTGTGTTTCTGTCCTCTAAAGACCTAACGTGGACCTTCTCCAGTTGTGAACCTGATAGCTACTTTCACTATCTGGAAATATATATATATATTATTTATTTGTTTACTTGTTTGCCATCTGTCTCCCAATAAGGACAGGGAATTGATTGATTTTGGTCACTGCTTTATCCAGTGCCCCGATCACACACTAGGCACTTAATAAATGTTGATTGAAGACTCACAGGCACAGAGAATAGATGTTGGTTGCTAAGGAGGGGTTGGGAGAAATATTATATGGAGAATAAGATAAACGACAACATCCTACTGTATAGCACAGGGAACTATATTCAATGTGCTAAGTCACTTCAGTCCGACTGAGTGTTGGACTCTTTTGCAACTCCATGGACTATAGCCCTCCAGGTTTCTCTGTCCATGGGGTTCTCCAGGCAAGAATACTGGAGTGGGTTGCCATGCCCGCTTCCAGGGGATCTTCCCGACTCAGGGATTGAACCCGTGTATCCTGCATCAGCAGGCAGGGTCTTTACCACTAGTGCCACCTGGGAAGCCCCCACTATATTCAATACCCTGTGATCATCCATAATGGAAAAGAATATGAAAAAGAATGCATATATATATATGTATAACTGAGTCATTTTGCTGTAGAGCAGAAATTAACACAAAATTGTAAATCAACTATACTTCAATAAAAAGTTTATAAATATTTGTTCAGAGAATGATTTCACATTACATTGAACTCTGTAACCCAGTTGGAATGTAGTATGATCTAAAGTGACCCTACAGATCTTTTCCTCAATTAATTTAGCATTTATTGAGCACCTACAGTGTTCCAGGCACTGTGCAAGTCCTTGAGGGGAACATAGTCCTCGCCATCCTGGGCCTCAAACCTGAGAGGAGGAGATAGAATTTCAAGTTATGGTTTATGCTGAAGGGGCGAGAGGTGTGGGAGCTGGAGTCTATGGGAACAGAAATGGGGGGCACATCATTGACCTAGAGTGTCTGGGTAGGCAACCTGCAAGGATGACACTTAAGGGAAGGTGCTCTAGATAGGAGAAATTACACATGCAAAGGGTGATATGATGAAATTTGACCAAGTCATGATGTTGGTGGGAGGGGAGCTGGAGGGACAGGGAGAAGGGTATGTCTGAAGCAGCTCAGACTTAATCTGCTAAAATGGGGCCCATTGGAGGTAGATTACTTTATTTCAGAGATTCACCCGTTTGTCCCAGTGCCACTCTGTTTTAACTACAGTATCTTTAGAATATATTTTAACATCTAATACTCCACTTTTTGCAAAATTCCTGGGCTGTTTCCATTGTCTTTTTTCTTCTTCCAGATAAGCCATAGAATACTACTGTTTCCCCCATAAAAACTATACTGGAATAGATAGATAGATATTACAAAACAGAAACAGACTGACAGACTTCAAAAACAAATCTATGATTACCAAATGGGAAAGGTTATGGGGGAGGGGTAAAGGGGGAGGGATAATTAGGATTAACATACACATACTACAATATATAAAATGGGGCTTCCCAGGTGGCGCTAGTGGTAAAGAATCCACCTGCCAATGCAGGAGATGCAGGTGACTCAGTTTCAATCCCTGGGACAGGAAGAGCCCATGGAGTAGGATATGGCAACCTGCTCTAATAATCTTGCCTGGAAAAATTCCATGGACAGAGGAGGCTGGTGGGCTACAGTAATAGATCAACAAGGACCTACTATATAGCACAGAGAGCTCTCCTCAGTATTCTGTAATGACCTGTACAGGAAAAGAATCTGAAAAAGAATAGATACATGTATAACTGAATCATTCTGCTATACACCAGAAACTAACACATTATAAATCAACTGTAGCACTCTCTCTCTCAAAGTCACTCAGTGGTGTCTGACTTTTCATAATCCTATGAACTATAGCCTGCCAGGCTCCTCTGTCCATGGAGTTCTCCTGGCAAGAATACTGGAGTGGTTAACCATTCCCTTCTCCGGGGGATCTTCCCGACTCAGGGACTGAACTTGAGTCTCCTGCATTGCAGACGAAGTCTTTACCATCTGGGCCACTAGGGAAGCCCTAAATCAACTGTACTCCAATATAAAAAGTAAAAAGTAAATAAAATGCATGCACACACAGAGTGAGATCCAAGAAAGCATACAAAATAGATGCATAACTTAAGACACTCCTGAGAGACAGTTCTCAACCAGGAGTGATTATGCCCTCTGGGGAACATTCAGCATTAAGTGGAGCTCTTGCTGACTGCCAGGATGGAGTCGGGGAGGGCTGTTCTTGACCTCTACTGGGTGGAGCCCAGGGATGCTGCTAAACATCTTATGATGTACATGAAAATCCCACACAACCAAATGTTATCTGACCTGAATGTTGATAGTGCTGAATCTGGGAAACTCAGCTGGAAGACAGACATCATTCTAATCCCCACCCAGGTCCACAAAGAGCATACCACCAGCAACCCCAGACGCCCTTCCAACAGGCTGCGTCTCAATCACAGTGCTTCACTCTGAAAAGCAGCCACTGTTGTGACTTGTGTAACAATCACTGCCTAGTATTTCTGAGTAGTTTATCATGCAAGTTTGAATCTCTAGATACTGTGGTTTTGTCTTGCCCACTCGAAAAAAGAAAATGATATGTCTTCTAAGTCTCTTTTAATTCATGGGTTCCCCCTCCATCCCTTTTCTCTGTTACAATTGAATCGGTTGCACAACTCAGGCTATTTCCCACGGTCCGGGTGGTGCTGATCCCATCCTCATGGTGCATGCGGCATGGTCCTTTGCCCTTCATCTTTCATGCAAATTGGCAGTTGTTTCCAGAACCAGGATTAGACTAGGGTTTAATGCCTTTGACCTGACAGTGAGTGTTGTTGGTTCCTTCAGCATC